CTGTTTGACGTCAGAACCGATCTCAAAACCCTAATATCACCCTCTGAAGAGAAAGAGAGAGGGGAGGAATACTGCACATCTAGGAAAATTACGAAATAGGTAAAATAATCAGATTCAAGAATGTAATAAAATTTGGTCATGTTTGGATAAGAAGTGTATGAGCATCACTTTTGTCAAAACTTCTTATTGGGCAGCTTTCGAAATGTTACACCCAATTTGAGTCGTGTACGCTTCGATGAAGAAACCCGAAGAAAAAAAAAATGGAATTAGCACAAATAATCATCCACCCAATCACTTAAATTAAATATAGCTGACGTATATATAATATATATATATATATAATTTATGTGGCTGCTATTTGTGTAACAATCCCAAAAAAAAAACGTTGTCTTATTAGACAAGAAATGGAATGGAAAACTCGACTATCTACTATAGAGCCGTGACATAGTCTGTAGAAATGACACCAGGTAGCCACTCTAAAGAAAACTTTGCTATTTAGGAATTAACCCATGTGTAGTTAATTTTAATTTTTATGTTTAATTGTTGTGGACACAAATGTCCTGAACTGTCCTAAATATAAGATTTTTAGTTCAAATTTTCAAGATAAAATAAATATTGATTAATCCATGAATAGCAATCCTAGCTGTTTGCGTACTTCCCCCAAACATCTCCAACTACGAGGCCCAAAAATGAATGGACCTACTTGCTTTATGCTTGGCCCATGGGCTTGTAGCCTTGTACATTGATGGACTATATAAGGGATTACACATTTCGTTTAGCGATACTCTTTTAAGTAATCAAATTTATATATTTTAACAACCAATACTGTCAGATATCTCTATAACAACATCACTATATAACATCAATTACTATAAAAGTCAAGTTTTCGTTAGAACCGATTTTTTAAATTATATTTTACCTCTCTATAATACCTTTTTACCTATAACAGCAACAACCATATTTATAGCAGAACGCTCTTTGTAAAATTATCCCTCTATAACAGCTATATAGAATCTTTAAGATACTAATAATAATTCTAAAAATATGCACACAATCTTTTCCATTGAACAAAGTTTCTATCTTGTATAAGACATAAGATTTGAAGATCTGCACATGATATATTTTCATTGGATATCTTTTTGATGAAAATTTAGACAAGAATTTTCGCCAATTCAAGCGCTATGTCGGTAGTAAGAGAATGAAATCTATGAACAACTACAATTACAAAGTTCTTCCATCAATCTTGAAATTTGTTTTTCCTAGTAGCTTTAAAATATGTGCCTTAGAGTTTAAATCTTTGTACATTTAGTTATGAATTTGTTAATAATGTATTAGCTTTCTTCAATATATACCGAGTGAAATATGCATATCTTCTGAGATTTTAAATTTGAAGAATTTTCTTATCTTTTATAAGTAACACTAAAGAAAGAAAAATAATGATTTTTGGATAAGTTTTATCTATAATAGCCAAAAAAATATTTAAACGTCAAATGTTATTATAGGTGTATAGCAGCCATTCCCTATAAAAGCCAAAAAAATCGGAACAAACGAAACTGTTATAGAGTGGTTTGACTGTATATCTAAATAGCTTATGACCAAGATTTTTAATCTATACAAATCCAATGAAAAAGATAATATAAATTCTAAAACTAGCACTAATAAGTATAATTATTCATGTATTTTCATATGTAAATAATGTATACGGCCGAAATATATTTTGGCCTTCCTATGTTCGATCGAGTTCGAATAGTAAGCAACCGAAGTGAGATTTTGGGATGAGTCCCGAAGATACAAACGAGTCCCGAGTTCCGAAGACTAATCGAGGAGTCGGCTCGATACTATTATCAAGCCCATGTCCAAATCGACCCGCAAGGCTCGATACTACACCCACCCCGAAGGTCGAACTCAAGCCAAAGCCGAGGGCTCGACCCAATAATGAGTTCGAGCCAGCATCGAGCTCGCAGACAAGAGCCGTTACAACCGCATCAAGGGAGAGAATCTTGGCGGGAATCGAGGAAGAGACAATTCATCATGAGTCCTCCACTATATGTTTTGTTTTATTATAAGTAAAGTAGGATCCCTCTACTATAAAAGGAGGAATCTTTGTAAGCGTACCGGCAGCTCATACACTGAGGGACAAAAAAATCACTTCTCAGATTGAAAGATATCCCTTTGTGTTTGCTTTAATTTATCTCATTCATTCTTATTGCCCACTATTTGCATTCTCATAGTCAAGAATATACGTATCTCTATTTCTCTACATAATTTATATCGAATTGTATCGCATATCCTTAGAACCATACACAAAATCTAACGTTATCCGATTTTTCCGGTAAACAGTTTGTCGCCCACCGTGGGGCTAAGGGTAACAGTGGTTGTTTAATACAAATCTGCAATACATACCAGTTTACAACTTCAAATCAACAATGGCAAACCCTCGATTGATGGCTTTATCTATCGACCACGAAGCCGGCTTTCAAGATAAAACCAACAACTTGACACCCAGGTCCGGAAGGCAAATTAACGATGTCACCGAAGCTCGAGTCGAAGTACCGCTAGATCTCAATTCACAAGTGTCTCTTGAGACGAACCAACGTTCTGAGCCGGAAAAAAGCATTCAGGGCGGTACTCGATCCGTAGCTCGAGACACCCATAACGTGGAGGAGATCAGAGTCATCTTACGGATGATTTTCGAGATGTTTCAAGCCCAGCAAATAGCGATATCTCAGTTACAGAGCCAAACTCAGGTACAAAGCAGGCCGGAGCCCAATTCGCTTCGAGAAATCACCCACAGAACGGAACCATCCATAGTGAAGTCGAATGAGTAAGAATTGGGGACTACTCCCGAAATTACTAAATTGCTCGAGGAACTCATAAAACGAGTCGAAGCCAATGATAAAAAAGTAGAAACATATAATTCCAGGGTTGATCAGATCCCAGGAGCTCCAACAATTATAAAAGGGCTAGATTCGAAAAAATTCATTCAAAAGCCTTTTCCCTCGAGTGCAGCCCCAAAACCAATCCACAAAAAATTTCGTATGCCCGAAATACCCAAATATAACGGAATGACCAACCCCAACGAGTACGTCACTTCTTACACGTGTGCCATCAAGGGCAATGATTTGGAAGATGATAATCTGTATTATTGAAAAAATTCGGTGAAACCCTGTCAAAGGGGGCAATGGTATGGTATCATAATTTACCATCTAACTCTATTGATTCTTTTGCTATGCTTGCAGATTGCTTTGTAAAAGCACGTGTCGAAGCCATAAAGGTCGAAACCAGAAAGTCAGACCTGTTCAAGGTAATACAAAAGGATAAAGAGATGCTAAGGGAGTTCGTAGCTCGTTTTCAAATGGAACGAATGGATCTGCCACCAGTCATAGACGATTGGGCTGTTCAAGCTTTCACTCAAGGTCTAAACGAACGGAGCTCGATGGCTTCACGGTGGCTGGAGCAAGATCTGATCGAGTACCCAGCTATTACTTGGACCGATGTGCACAATCGATATCAATCCAAAATAAGAGTCAAAGATGACCAGTTAATTTCTAGGTCCGTTACAAAAAAGCAAAAGTCGACTAGAGATCGATACCAACCATATAGCGGAAACGATACTACTGCTGAGTATCCGAGGCCTCTTTAAAATCAACCTCATATACTGGGGGGGCTTTATCATTGAACGCATCTGTGATGATTATCAAGTTCGGTGCAAAGGAAGTTACTTCGTTATTTCATGACAAACAGTGTCTCAACAGGAAACGTTGTAAGAGCCAAATGATCAAAACGAACCATGCTTATGTAGTTGGCCCGAGCCCTGACGCAAAACATGAACCCATGTATAATGACTTGCAAAGAAAGCCCTTTTCTTTACCGATATTCTATGTTCAAGATGTATTATGCAAACAGAATCGAGTTCGAGCAAGCGCTCACTCGACCATTATGCCTACGGGCTATATTATTTCGAGTTCGAATCATTCACTCGACTATTAAGCCTATGGGCTACTTTTATTTTGAGTTGGAGCAAGCACTCACTCGACTATTACGCCTACGAGCTACATTGCATCGAGTTCGAATCATTCACTCGACTACTAAGCCTACGTGCTACTTTTATTTCGAGTTCGAATCACTCACTCGACCATTAAGCCTACGGGCTACTTTGACCATTAAGCCTACAGGCTACTTTGACCATTACACTTACAGACTATATTATTTCGAGTTCGAATCATTCACTTGACTACTAAGCCTACGGGCTACTTTTATTTCGAGTTCGAGCAAGCACTCACTTGACTATTACGCCTACGAGCTACATTGTATCGAGTTCGAATCATTCACTCGACTACTAAGCCTATGGGCTACTTTTTTTTTCGAGTTCGAATCACTCACTCGACTATTAAACCTACAGGCTACTTTGACTATTACGCCTACGGGCCACATTATTTCGAGTTTGAATCATTCACTCGACTACTAAGCCTACGGGCTACTTTTATTTCGAGTTCGAATCATTCACTCGACTACTAAGCCTACGGGCTACTTTTATTTCGAATTCGAGCAAGCACTCACTCGACCATTACGCCTA